GTGTGAAGGGGAGGGAGGGCGCGGCCTATGCCAGCATGCAGGCCTGCGTTTTTTTGAGTGGTGGACGCTTGAGCCCCTCATATGGGGCGTACCGTATAGCATTGCGGTTGCGTGGTATACGCGAAGCCCCGCGACCGGATTTCATCGATAAACGGGGCGGCTTGCGCAAAGACCAGGCGCCCTCTCTGGGGCCTCGCGGGCCTCCGGAAGCTGGGGTTCGGCGGATTCTGGGAGCCCTTCGGGGGCTGAGCTGACTTGTCCAGTCGGCCATCCCGCAGGCTGTCCAAGGAGGACGGAGGAGAAGGAAGAGGAGGAGAAGAAGGAGGAGGAGGACCCGTGCAAACGCATTTATCATCATCGATGTTAGCATCAACCCTCCCTTCAAGCTCCCTCTTCAAAGGTCCCTACCTGGGTTCATTCCCGCTGAAGGCACTGCCTCCTCGGAAGAAAACCATTCGAAGACCCTGGAGCGAGCCAGAATATCATTCGCGGGACTCCAACGCACGGATCAACCTGACTGTTACGACTTGGCGATCCTCAAGCGTGCCAGAACGCCATTCCTGGGGCGTCAACACTGCGAAACAGCTGAACTGTTGCACTCTCGTAATCCTGAGTCTCCCCCGATCACAATTTCTGGTACGCTGACCATGGGAATCCACCTAAATCTGCTGATGTTGAAAAAATAAGCGCGGCGCTATTGCGACAGCCAAATGTTGCAAAGGAGCCGCCCTCAATCCGCGAAAATCTTGCATTGGTTTGAAAACGAATGTGCGCGGCGCAAATGCGAGTGCCACATTTTGAAAAAGACACGCCCTCATCTGTAAAGCTCCTGCAATTGGTTAGTGCGCGGAGCTACGGCGACACCCACATTTTGAAGAAGAGCCACCCTCAATCCGTGAAGACCTTGCAACTGTTCAAAAAAATGTGCGCGGCGCGAAGGCGACGGCAAAATTTCGAACAGGGCCTGCCCTCAATCCACGATGTTCCTGCAATTGCTGAAAACGGATGTGCGCGGCGCCAAAGCGACAACCACCGTTTGAAAAAGAGCCGCCCTCAATCCGTGAAGCTCCTGCAATTTGTTCATACGAAATGCGCGGCGCTAGCGCGAGAGCCACGTTTTGAAAACGACCCGCCCTCAATCCGTGAAATTGTTCTTGCCATGTGTAAGACAAGCGTGCGGCGCGCTCATGCGACAGCTACATTTTGAAGACGACTCGCCCTCCATGTGCGAAAATGCTGCCAACCTTTGAGCTTCAGGGTCACACATGGCGAGGAAGCCTCAGTCGGAACGCCCGCCCCGCTTTAAAAACCGGCCTAGGGGTGCGACAAGGAACGGTTATTTACAATGAACGGAAATTGAGGGTGGAGGAAGAGAAGGAGGAAGAGGAGGACCAGTGTAAACACAAGAGTCACCAACGATGTTGGCATCAACCCTCCCTCCAAGCTCCCTCCTCGAAGGCCCCAACAAGGGGTTCACTTCCACTGAGGGATCTGCCTCCTTGGAAGAGTACCATCTGAAGACCTTGAAGCATGCCAAAATAATATTCTCCAGATTCCAACGCCACGGATCATCCTGACTGTTGCGTCTTGACGATCATGAAGCGCGCCAGATCGCCAGTCCTTGGACGCCAACACCGCGACTCAACTGAATTGCTGCACCTTCATAATCCTGAATGTCCCTCGAACGCTTTTGTGGTGCGTTGATCACGGGAAACCGTGAAACGCTTGCAACTGTTTGGGACGAACGCGCGCAGCGCTAACGCAACAAAGACATGTTGAACAGGAACAGCCCTTGATCCGCGAAAGTCTTGCACTTGCTTGAAACGAATGTGCGAGACGCTAAGGCGAGAACCACCGTGTAACAACGTCCCTCAATCCGTGAAACTCTTGCAAAGGTTGACAAAGAATGCGCGCGGCGCTAAAGCAAGAGCCATATGTTCAAACGGCCCGCCCTCATCACGTGAAAGTCTGGCACATGTTCAACACGAGCATGCGCAACGATCGAGCGAGAAACAAAGTTTGAAAACAACCCGACCTCAATCCGTGAAGCCCGCTTATATGTGTAAATAGATGTAATAGTGATAGGTGATGATTTGCATGTTTTAATCAATGTACCTTGTCTCGTTATGCAGAAAAATAAAGCGAAAACACACAATTTGAAAACCACCCGCCCTCAAATCCGTGATGTTCGTACATTCGTTTGTAGCAAATGGGCGCAGCGCTAAAGCGAGAGCCACATATTGAAAACGGCCCGCCCTCCATGTGTGAAACGGCTGCCTTTGTTTAACCTTCACTGTCATAAATGGTAAGGACATCTCTGCGACAGGGAGAAATATGTTTAAGGAAGTGAAATTGAGGAGGGAGGAGGAAGAGGAGGAAGAGGGGGGCGGGGAAGAAGAAAGGGACGGGGACGAGGAGGAGGAGAGGGAGGGAATGAGGATCCTAGCCATGGGAGGAGGGAGGGGAGGGGGGCTGGGAGGAGGAGGACGAGGAGACAGGGGGGAGGGGAGGAAGGAGGGAAGAGGACGACAAGGGAAGAGGAATGGGGGGAGGAGGGAAAAGGATGAGAAGGAAAGAGGAGGATGGAGGAAGAGGCGGGGCGAGTGCGCAGAGGAGGGACGCGGGGGAGGAGGGAGGCGGATGGGGAAGGAGAGAGGACGCGGACGGAGGAGGGGGGAGGCGGCGGGAGGGGGGATGGGGAGGGAGACGGAGAAGGGGGGAGGAGGGAGGAGGGAGGAAGAGAGATGCGGAGGAGAGAGAGGGGACGGGGAAGGGGGAGGGAGGGGGGAAGGAGGAGGGAGGAAGACGGAAGAGAAAGGGGGGAGAAAAGAGGAGAGGGAGGAGGGGGGAGAAGGGAGGAGGGAGGGAGATAGGGGAGAGGGGGGAGACGGGAGGACAAGGACGGACGAGGCAGGAAGGATGAGGGGGGATCAGGCGGGACGGACAAACACAACGACCAAACCGCGTTGACAACCAAGTGGCCCCAACCATCACACCGAAGTCATGGGGAACTACGACGACAGCCGAGAGCGCCGCGGTCATGCCGCCGAACGCCACCAGACATCCCACAAAGGAGCAAAAGGCAAGGCCGCAGATATCCAGCACAGCGGGCCGCAGGCGGGGTGGTGTCGTGATGTCCTTGGTCGGTCAGATGCCGATCGTACACCTCTGCGCGGACCTCCAGAACAAAAAAGATATGTCCAAACGCTGCCAAGATATTCAAGAGGCTGCCTCCTCTTCGCCTCGAGCGCCGATATGCATGCCGCTATTCATGCCGCCGCTATTCATGCCGCTGGTATCCATGCCGGTCGAACGGAGCTCTGGGGAGGCCCGCGCAGGTTTCCTGGGCCGAAGGCCGGGGACCCCGTGCCCCCGCCCTGAGCTCCGACGCCGCGCTGAGAAGCTGCGGCATCGCGCAGGCAAGCTATAGGAAGCACGACCCCGGAGCCCCGGAGCCGTGAGCGCCTTCTTGTGGGGCGCTTCGGCCGTGAGCCAAAATTGGGGGGGGGGAGGGGGAGCTGGCTCCGGACCTCTGCGTACACCCTGCGAAATGCTTAAGAAATCATGGGTTAAGAAATTCATAGTCTCAGAACTTGAATAAAACCAAGAACTTCTATCAAAATCTTGGGATTTACATTGAAAAGTTAAGAATAATCGAGACTCTGGACGAAAACTTAGGTTTTCTTAAGCATCGCCTAAGGTGTACTGCGACTGTTTACGACAATGCGTCCTATGGGAGAGGGGCTCCACCTGCTCGGAACAGAGGAGCCGAAAACAGCCAAGATCCACTCCAGGGGGGGGGGGAGAGGGGGGGGGTGCGAGGGCCCGCGCCGATCGGCAAAACAAGGAATAAGAACACGATCGCGCCCCAATCTTTGTGCGGCATGTTTCGAGCTGGATCGATCTGTGATCGCCCTGGGGCCCGAAACCTGGCGAAAACGCCCACGGTGAAAAAAATCCAACGCCCGGGTCTCTGGGTCGGCCCACCTGAAGCTTCGGGTCATGACGCCGCTCTCCAGCGGCCGTTCGGGACGAGCTGGGACCCCCTTGAACGCTCTCGGCTACGCGCAGCTGCATTGAAGAACCCCGAGCCCCGACAAACGCCGAGACCGTACGAAAATGCCAGAGAACCTCGAACCTCGAACCTCCTAAAGGAAAGGCCCCTCTCGGGGCACGGATCTCGAGGCACTCTTCGGGCCCTGGGCGCCGGCCGCCTTCAGGTACGCGAAGCCGCTCTTCTCGCTGGGGATCTTGTTGTCGATCTTCCAGCGGGACTTCTCGCGCCAGAAATACAAAAACCTCGAGGCGCTCGGGGGCGAGGGGGCGGGAGGAGGCAGGCAGGAGGGGCAGGGCAATGCACAGAGGCAAGGAAACCAGCACACACACACACATATATATATATATATATATATATATATTTCGGCGCTTCGCGCTGATGTCGTCCAGCGGAACTCCTCGCATATAGAGGAAGGATAAAGATGCTCCAACATAGGCTTTCGGAGCTCCGCGCTGATTTCCTGGATCGGCGTTGGGCTCCCCTCCCCGGCGCGCGGACACCGCCACGGGCGGCGGCGGAGGCGCCGCCAGGGGGGGCCGAGGCGCCGACCCAAGAAATCCGCGCGGAGCGCCGAAAGTTTATGCGTATGCCGCAGTTGATGGACTTGTTTTCCACCACCACCACCACCACCACCACAAGTAGAAGGGGGAGGGGGTCCTCCTCCTCCTCCTCCTCCTCCTCCTCCTCCACCCCCTACCCCCCTCCAAATGATGGTGGTGGTGGAAAACAGGCCCATCAGCAGCTACCCCTCGAAACTGTATGTGTATGCAACATGTCTCCTTCGAGTGTAGGAGGGACGGGGAAGGCAGACGGCTTTGGCACAATGCTGCCGCCCAAGTGGAGTGCTCGAGACCCACCCCTGATATTTGGGCGTTGCAAACATATCGCAGCGAGGGTGCTCGCACGTGCTCGGGCCCCGGATAGGGTCTTCGGTGGCAACTGACGGGAGCCTCCCCGACCATTGCATTGGCCGACAGCAATCAACGCTGATCGACGGCAATTGAAGCTAAATCGACGCTAGTCGACGCTAGCCCACGCCAATCAAGAATAAACCGGCGCTGTCGCATTCATCGCCAGACGCCAGTCGACGCGAAAGACAAAGGCTCCCAGGCCCGAGGCGGTCCTGGTCCCAGTGCTTTGACAGTGGGGCGATGGCTGTGCAGTCACGCGGTGCTGCACTTCTGATCCGCAGCGTCGGATCTCGGGGGCTCCAGCAGCCGGGGCTCAGCGAAAAAACCTGCGAGCACGACCAGGGCGTGGTGCCCCGATCGGCCTGTGACGGCGCGCACACCGGCGGGGGGGGGAGAGGGGAAATGGCTTCTCAGAGGGCGCCGGCCGTACCTCTATAGATGACACCCGCGCCTTCTACGAAGCAGGGGTGTCTCCAACAAGCCCGCTCCCCCCCCCCCCCCTGCACCCAACCCGCTCTGCGCGTGGCCGAAGTATCCTCTGCAGGCCGCGCCTGCAGAGCGGAAGCCGAGTCTGAGCGACTAGGGAGCAGACCCCCAGGAGGTGTTCGTAGTGTTTGCAACGCAGGTGTGCTCGCGGACATGCAGATTTGCAACGCGGGTGTGTTCGCCCAGTTTGGGGCCCCGGGGCTATCGCAGATCGATCTGGTTCGAACAATACAGTACAATCAACATATGGTATCCGGGGTTCCGGTCCGGGGCTCCGGTCGTGGTTCACAGCGATGCTGCAACTTGCTCGCAACGTCGAATGTCATAGAAAATTCATTCAGTGGCAATGAAACTCGATCTCGGGACCATTCAGCTGGAACGCGCCAAATTCAACACGACACTGAGCCCGATAGAGCCGGACCAAACTGGACAAGGCGGAGATGAACAGAACTATGCCGGATCAGGCCGCTCTTCGACCACGGATATACCAGGGTCGATACGGACTGTAACTTCCCAGGAAATGCATCCTATGACTGATACCCGCTTGCCTGACCGTAGGCGCGGGCGGAACGAAAAGGCTTGCCGGGAAGAGGGGCGAATAAGACGACGGCCTCTCCCGCCTGGCCCACATCCGCCCAAAATCATTTCCAGACCCCCAGACCCCTCCCCGGGTCCGTCCTGCCCCTGTTCTTGAATCGGATCAGACCGTGGCGACAAGACAATAACACCAGACAAAAAAGAGAACGCTGCCTCAACTGTCGTCGCGGCTACATCGGCTGGTGATGCCGCCTTGACACGAAGCACCTGGAAGATGTTCGGTCAGGGATTCTTTGCGCGCCGAGTGTGTCACCGCACATCGCGCGTTGAGGTTTCTCGGCGCGCCTCCACGACGACCCGGGCACGTGTCGCTCATGTCGCTTGCGCGCGACTGCCGGCGCTGGCGCGATGGGGATGTCCCTTCGCCTCGCCTGCGGGGCGTGCGCGAGCGCTTCCCGCGTGAGCCCGCAGGGGGGGGGGGGGCAACTGCGCGACGCCCGATGTCGCAGTCGGACGCCAGCAGAAGGAGCAGGAACTGAGCGATGGGCGGGGGATGCTCGCGCGTTTAAAGGTAAGCGGCGACGCGTCGTGGGAAACCGTGTAAACTCCGGAGCCACAGCGCGAGCGCAGTAATAAAGGCGGTCTGTTGCTGAACACGCGGCGGGGGGTTCAACGCGGCAGCCCTCGCAGCACGGCGCGCGCTGGTGCCGCCCGAATGACGGGGCGCTGCTGGCGCCGAAGTGTCTAGATTACGACAATCTAGATTACGAGAATTGGTTTCCAGCTGGCGCCAGCATTGGCAGGAGGGGGAAATGGAGGGGGAGAGCAAGGAAGGGGGGATTGGGGGGCGAATGTGAGGAGAGGTGAAAGGGGAGGCCTCGGCCCCCGGGCACCTTGCCAAGCAGCACTGGGCCACGATCTCGGTCGAACCACGGCCCTTGCAATTGCGGCCCTCCCTCAACGGTCCCCTGACTCACCTCCGGCAAGAAAAACGAAGGACGTCGATAATCATCGCCACTCTTAGCCCGTCTCCCGTGCACTGCGAATCCGCATCAAGCGTGCGGGTGCCACGCTTTAGCCCAGACCAAATCGCGGCACGGCGCGGCACGGCGGAGCTGTCGCGGTCTGCCGACCGAGGCACGGCCGCCAGGCACACGAGTGTCTTGGAAGACGAGGGTGCGCGTGCAGACAAGTGGCGGCGCGCACAGGGGGGGCGGAGGGAGTGCTGGAGGGCTTCTTAGCAGGAGGCTGCTTCGTAGAAGGCGCCGGCCATACATCTATAGCTGAGGCCCACGCCTGCTAGGAAGCAGGGGTGCCTCCAAAAAGCCCTCCCCCTTCCCCCTTTACCCCCCTCTGCGCGTGGCCGGGACAAAGCGCGGCACAGCACGGCACGGCACACTTCTTTCCCTATGAAGAGTAAGCGCGGCACGGTGCTGCAAGGCCTTTTCTTTGCCGTCTCGAGACAGAGCACGGCACGGCACGGGGCGGCACTGCACGGCGAGGCGATCGTCAACAGCCACCGCCGCAAGACAAGGACAAGGGCAACCGCGCACAAGCCAGCACCAATTCATGAAAGCAGAGGGCAACACAAAACACATCGGAGTGAAAATCCGGGCAGGCAACAATAAACCAGTCTTCGGTGAACGTGCCGATGGCTTCGTGGCGATACACTGGCCCTCCTGCAAGCTTGGCAAGGCACTACTACCCTGAGATCCGACATTACGGAGCAGTTGCAGCATCGAGAGAAATCACGACCCGAGCCCTCGACCCTGGCTTTTTGCGCCATTATTCAAGACAGATCGATATGTCTTGGCCCCAGGGCCTGGAACAGGGCGAAAACGCAGTGTGGAAACATGCAACGCCCGCATCTCAGGGTTGGCCCAGCCCCGTGAGGTTTCGGGTCATAACGCGGCTCTCCAGCGGACGCTCGGGACGATCCACGCTCCCCCATAGAACGTTCTCGGCTACGCGCAGCTGCTGTGAAGCATCCCGAGCCTCGACAACTGCCGACACCCTACGAAATTGCAAGCAAACCTCGAGCCTCGAACCCCAATTTTGTTCCAAGTAACACGGCCCCATCGTGTGTTACCACGCCTCAGCCAGCATTGTGTGCCAGGATTCGCACTGCCACTGCAAATTGGTCCCACACACACACACACACACACGACAGCGCTGAGCAAGCCTGATGCCCGCGGTTCCCCTCGAACCTCGAACCTCCTGAATGCAATGGTGTGAACAAATTCTCGGGGGCGGCCAAGAGGGGGGCGCCCAAGAGGTGGGGGGCGCAAATCATGGCAGGCAGCACGTGCGCGGCCCAGGGGGGCGAGCCAGGGACGCACTGAAAGGAGAAGAGGCGCCATGAGATCTGAGGAGGCCTCACGCCCCCCGCCATGATATCCCCCCCTCCCTGGCCATCCCCCCCCCTCCTGGCCGCCCCCGAAATGCCACGCCCGCATCTCAGGGCACCGCGCGGTAGGGGCACGGAGCGGGTGGTGGGCTGAGGCGGGGCTGGCCGCCTGGGCCGGACCGCGGCGTCGGCGCCGACCTTCTCGTAGGCGCCGTGGCCGTCGTGGTCCGCCGCGCGGCGGGCGTAGAGCCCGTTGATGGAGGCGTTCTTCTTTTCCGAAGACCTCCCACGAGGGCCAGAACTCTCGTGGGCGCTTTCTGAGTCGGCGTCTCGGCATTGGGCGGGCGGGGGGAGGGTGTGGGGGGGGAGCACCCCCTGCGCGGCGCGGGGAGCCCGCCGCAGAGGCGCGCCCGCCGGCACCCTCTCTCTCTCTCTCTCTCTCTCTCTCTCTCTGGGGGCGCCAGGCCTTGCAGGGAGCTGCGGGAGTGCCGCCAGGTGAGCGGTTTCTTATTCGGCATTTCGACATTGGGCGGAAGGGTGGGGAAGGGGGGGTGGGGGCCTGGCTCCAGACCTCTGCTTGATGCGACGGTTTGCGACGGTGCGTCCCGTGGGGGTGACTCCACCTAAACGAAATACGGGCGGCAAAGCAGCCAAGATCCACTCCATAGGGGGGGAGAGAGGGGGGGAGATGACTAGCACCGATCGGCAAAACAATGAGTAAAAAAACGATGACCCGGAGGTCCTGACGCCGTATTCTGCTTCGAGCCGGGGGCTGCCGCGCGACCTCTGGACCCGAGAGCCCTCGCAGATCTTTCTTGGCTCGACACCTGTCGCAGAAAGATAGCGTCTGGGGCTGTGGTCGCGAGGTTCCACGAGGCTGCCCTTTTGTTCGCGTCGCCGGTTCTCAGGGACGGCGGTCCGATGGAGGCGTTTTTTTTTCGTCCATGTGTTCGACCCCCCCCTCTGCTCGCCACGGCCGAATACCCGCCTCGAAAAACGTGCCAGAAGGATGCGGGGAAAGGTCTGGGGACCGATTCGTTGAGTGGTTTGGGCCGATGGGCCGAAAGAAAACAGCACGCCCTACGGTGGTGATGCTTTCTTCACATCCCAGTATGCAGAACTCGGACCGATCAACATAGCGGAAAGAGCCGCAGGCCTGGGGGTAGGCGGCAGGCTCGTTTTCGCCGCCGTTGTGCGTGTTTCGCATCTTCTAAGGTCAGGCCAGCAGAATCCAGCAGAATCCTCCTCGCCTCCTCCTCCTCCTCCTCCTCCTCCTCTTCCTCCTCCTCCCCATCCTCCTCCTCCTCCTCCCCATCCTCCTCCTCCTCCTCCTCCTCCTCCTCCTCCTCCTCCTCCTCCAGACTTCTAGGAGACCATCCCTACTCTTGACGCGCAGGTGCGGCATGCACCGCGCCCCCCCGCACGAGACTCCCTAGGCAGCGGCCCGACGCATTCACGGGGCTCTTCCCAGGGCCACCCGAGGCTTGCAGGACGGCGCAGGAAAGTCACAAATGCCATCAACGGCCCCTAGATGCGACAAGAGTCCCCTCAAAAACCCATGGACGTCCTTAAGGTGTTCTTTGGTGTACGTTTCCTAGGCCTCTCTGCTCAAGAGAAGGAAGCTCCTTCTGGGGGTCTTCCTGGAGACACTCGCTCCACTCGTGCGTCGAAGCTGCGTCGAACGTCCGTCGATTTGAGTCGAACTTGAGTCGAATTGGAGTCGAACTGGAGTCAAGCAGATCCATGTTAGGTGTATCCCAGGAAGGTCCCCAAAACGAGCATCGAATATTTGGTTTACATGTCCCTGGCCTCTCTGCTCAAGATGGTTCGAAGAGGGCCTCGGCGGAAGGGTCCAAGGATGGCTCCAAACAGCCCCCAGACGGCCCAAGACATCCCCAAAGGGGGCCCCGAGATGGCTCAAGACGGGCCCATGACAGCCGAAGAGGGCCCCAAGACGACCCAAGAGAGCTCCAAGACAGTCCCAAGAGACTCCACAGCCGATTGGAGCCAAAGTGAGCCGAATGCGGCACCAAGGCCTTGTTGGGGCCGCTAGAGCCAACCCAGCGAGCCCGACCATAAATACCAAATATCTATTTCCGAAACCCATGGTTTTGGAGAGGGTTGTTGCGGCACGAATGGAAGATAAAACTATGTGGATCGAACTATCAAATAATCCCACCAGCCCTCAGTGCGTGAGTGGTTTAGGGGCGCCCGCTACGTTCCACCCCTGCCCCCCCCCTTGGCCTGGACGGGGGGCCCCGCGGGTAGTTGGTGCGCCAAGATAGCGCCAAGAGGGCTCAAGAGAGCTCAAGATGACCTCCAAAATCGCTCAAGATATCCTTCGATGACTCAATATAGACCGTCCCAAGACGGCTCCAAGTGGCCACGGAGCCGCCCAAGGACGCACCCGAGAGGCCCAGATGTTTTCAAATTCGCATGGGAATCTATGTTTAGTTGTCGTCTCGCCTTCTTGCTTCCGATGGGCTCTCGAGGCCTCAAGATGACCCCAAAATGGCCCAAGAGCGGGCCCAAGGGCGCCCCAATAGCGGCCCAAGAGGGCCCCAAGGGGGATGTGTTTGGGCCGTATCGGGGTTCATGGATCCTTCGTCCTCCTCCTCCCCCGCACTGCCACCCTCGACCCTAGGTCGAGGGTGCCCGAGCTCGACGGCATGGAGGACCCGCGGACCGCCGAGGGGACCAGAATCACCCATTCCCCCCGCCGCGCCCCAGAAAGGCTCCCCAGCGGGCAAAAAGTCGCCATGGGGGCCACACTGAGGGGCAAGGGGTGGCACCGCCGCGGCGCCGTTAAAAAAAAAAAAAAAAAAAAAAATAAAAAAACACAAAAAAAATAAAAAAAAAAAAAAAAAAAAAAAAAAAAAAAAAAAGAAAAAAAAAAAAAAAAAAAAAAAAAAAATTAAAAAACAAAAAAAAAAATGAGTGCAAAAACCGCTAGGGCCATAAAATAGAAATTGACCGGCTCTGGGGCCTGGCGGTTGCCACAGCGGGCTTGCACACGAGCGCCCCCCCCTCCTCCATGAATCCTTCTTAAGAAAGAAGAAGAGAAAAAAAAAGAAAAAAAAAGAAAAAACAAACGCGCACCACGTCGTCGTCGTCGTCGTCGTCGTCGTCGTCGTCGGTCGTCGTCGTCATCGTCATCGTCGCCGTCGTCTTCGTCGTCGTCATCGCGGTTGTCGTCGTGGCGGTCGTCGTAGTCATTATCGTCGTCGGGTGCGTCGTCGTCATCGTGGCCCTCGCCGTCGTCGTCGGCGTCGCCGCTTCCCCCCGCCCCCCGTCGTCTTCTCTTCTTCCTCCTCCTCCAGCCGGACCCCTCCACTCCTCCCACAAGGAAAGGATGAGATAAAAGGAAGCAGGTGGGAGATAGGAGGAACAGGGGGACATGTGCGAGGGCAGGAGGAGGTGCGCCTGCAAATCACAACTGTCGGTACGCTTCGCAAAAGCTGCTGTTTTGGGGATGGGCCGGTGGGGGGGGCGCGCGAAGCGTGAAGAATTCGAGCTTCTCTGCGGGCTCCAGCGGGCCCCCCCCTGGGGCCGCGGGCCACGGATCACGGGCCACGAAGTCCACCCTTGGAGGGCCCTCTTGGGGCCGCGAACGTGCCAGCACAACTGAATGTTATGAAGAGCCCCCCGATCATGATGATGAAGATGTTCGCTGGCGCAGCTCGGGCACCGTGACCGTCGGCAAGCGCAGCGCAGACGGCAGCCCGGACCTACTCGCCGTGCGCTGCCTGACGAGCCTCACGGTCCTCACGGTCGACAGTATCCACTGCGCGACGCTGGCTCTCCACGAGGCTCTCGTCTTTGATCTTCGTGTCGTCTACGACATCGACGAGCACCTCCATCTTCTTCTGGTAGCGCTTGAGCCTCTGGCTGAGGAACTTGTTCTTCACCCTTTCCTTCCTCAGCAATGACTGGAGACGAAAGAACCGCCCTCTCTGAGATTCCGTGAGGCCCGCGGGGACGGCTGGATAGAAGCCAGGCCAAAATCGTTTCGGCGCCATCCCCAGGGCCCCAAGTGCCAGGCTGCCAGGCGAGGAGCAGATGTGCAGTGCCGCAACCTGGGGCCAAAACGGCGCACGTGGCCATGCAAACGTTCGCACTGGTTCACATGGCCCGCTGGAAGAATGGATCGGTTTCAGGATTGGCGGCAGCGGCGGCGAGGACGCGAAACGACAGTGACTACGGCACGGGGAGAAGGATAGGACGAGAACGATAGGACGAGAAGGAGGGAAGGAGAGAAGGATAGGACGAGGGGAGAGAAGGAGAGAAGGACGAGGGGACGAGGACGAGGGGACAAGAAGGAGAGAAGGACGAAGGGTGGGACGAGGTGGGAGGATAGGACGAGGGGGGAGGGGAGAGAAGGATAGGGGATAGGATAGGACGATAGGACGAAGAGAAGGACGAGAAGGAGAGAAGGAAAGAAGGGCAGCGAAAGCCCCTGGGAGAAGGATAGGACGAAGGCGGGCGCGAGCGCGTCTTTCCACCCAGGCGCGCCCGAATCCGAGGAGCGAGTGCGCCCCATCTCGCACTCGCTCCTCCTCCTCCTCATCCCTGCCCGCCCCACGGGCCGGGGCCCCCGTCCTCTCCGGCGGGGGTCGCGTCAAAACCTGCGAGAGCTCCGAGCCCCGCAGGCTCAAGCCTTGCTCAGGGCCCCAAAAAAAAGAAATCAGAGAAAAAAAGAAAGCAAAAGAAAAAATAACATAAGAAATAACAACAGAGAGAAGACAAGAACAAAGAAAGGAAAACAAAAAGAAGACAAAGAAACAAAGGAAAAGAAAAGAGCCTAACGAGCTGCAAGGAAGTAAGGAAAAATCGAAAAAAGGATATAGAAGCCTCAAGCTGCTCCGACGGGCGTGGCTAGCATCTTCGCGAGCACCCTGTCCAGGATCTTCGGCAGGGGCGTCTGGCCCTCCTGCCAAAAGTCAAAAGAAGCACGAGAGTGGCATCGGCGGCAGAACCGCCCTCGGCCGCAGCAGCAATGGGCAACATCAACTCGACGATCAGCGCAAGCAAGAAATTGAAAGGGCAACGCCGGGAGCATAGGAAGGGGCGGGCGGGTGCAGTCGAAGGAAGGTTGCTGCGACGGCGAACCTCGAGGACGAACAGGCCGCCAGACGTCGGCCCAGGCCAGACAGCGGCCCATCAACTGAAACCTCTCCCCCCCGGGCCCCAGGCCAAAGATCGAATGGCGGAGGGTGCTGTCGACCTTGCCGCCGCCCTGTCGCGAGGCGCCAACCCCTTTCAGGGCCCGCTCGAACGACGCTGCGTCTTCGATAGGGCGAGGCGCGAGCGAGGCGAGGACAGCGGAAAAGGGGGCGAGGGGGGGCGGGGGCAGGCAGCCCGAAGAGAGGCAGGGGACGAAGGACGACGGCGCATGGGGAGGCCCCCGCTCCCCGCAGCCGCTGGTCGGCCCTTGTCCCCGAAATTCTTCGACCTGGCGTACGCGTACATGGCCTTCGCCTTCTCGGGGACGGAGACGCCCTTCGCGTCCTGTTGGTACTGCGCGAGCTCCTGCGGGCCGAGCGGGCAGGAGGCAGGAGGCGGGGGTCGACGTGCGGGGCGCGGGGTGGGGGGGGCAAACTAGGTGCGCAAACGTCTTATCTGCCGTCCTACCCCTCCCTCCCTCCCATCCCCTAACATGGCGTAGATCTTCTCTCTATCAACACAGTCGGGTGTCGTGGCATGGTGTAGCATAACATGTCGTTGAAGATCGTAGCATGGCATAGCGCGGCATGGCCCAGGGCCCAGGGCCCCTCCGCAGTCAAGCACTGCATATCGCATCATTGACTACGGAGGCGTGCCATCGCACAGCAGAACACAACATGTCATTGCAGTCATTGCATTTCACGCCGTCGAATAGCACGGGACTGAGGTCAGCGCAGCAGCGGGGGCGCGATTCGGAACGAGCGGGCCCCCGCGCGCAAAAACACAGCACGCGAAGGGGGCGCAGTCAGTCAGGGGGTCAGGGGAGAGCGGAGAGATATTGTAATGAGTGATTGCGAAGGGGTGCGGAGGTGAGGACGCGGGCGAGAGGAAGGGGGGCGCACGAGGCGACGGAGGCAAGGAAGGAGCGGGAAGAGGCGGGGGGGAGGATGGGCCCAGATGGGCCGATGGGGATCGCCTTCTCCCCCATGCTTCTCCCTCTTCCTGCTCCGATCACCCCCGGCAATGCAACAATGCATCTCCTCGTCCTCCTCCCCTGCCGCGGCGCCGCACCGTGACAGAAGAGCAATCAGGAGGAGGAGGAGGAGGAGGAGGAAGAGGAGAAGGAGGTCCAGGAGGAGGAGAATGCCCCCGACCCCCGACTCGACCCTCGGATCGAGGATCGATTCGCGACGATCGGGGCCAAGAGCCGCACGAGAACCCCCCCCCGACCCCCTGAGGGCCCAAGGTCCCAAGCACTCCGAAATCCGAGCAGGCCCAGAGCACCACTACGACCCCCAACCCTCAACCCTCGTGGCGGGCACGTCAGAAAACGACTCGGGACGAGGGTGCGAGGCTGAGCTGAGCATCCCCCCTCTCCTGTCCCCCCACTCAATGTCCCACTCTCCTCCACGCTGCCCTCGGCCCCCTCCGCTTCCTCCTCCTACTTGTTCTCCTCCCATTCCCTCGCTGACCACCCGCTCTTTTTTTACAAAAACCGCCCCGGGGAGGGCGGCCGCTTCCCAGCCGCGGCCCAGGCGCCCGAGGACTGGCCCTCCTCGGCGGCCTCGGCCTCGGCCTCCGCCGCGGGCCGCTTCTTCCCGGCCCTGGCCCAGTCGCCCCAGGCGTCGTCCTCCTCCGCCGCCGCCGCCGGCTGCTTCCCAGCCGCGGTCCAGGCGCCCCAGGACTCGTCCTCCTCGGCGGCCTCGGCCTCGGCCTCCGCCGCCGGCCGCTTCCCAGCTGGGGTCCAGTCGCCCCAGCAGGACTCGTCCTCCTCGGCGGCCTCGGCCTCCGCCGCCGGCCGCTTCCCGGCCGCGGTCCAGTCGCCCCAGGACTCGTCCTCGGCCTCCTCCGCCGCCGGCCGCTTCCCGGTCGCGGTCCAGGCGCCCCAGGACTCGTCCTCGACCTCGGCGGCCTCGGCGCCGCCGCCGCCGCGGCGGCTCAGGCCCAGGCTGTGGCTGCGGCGGCGGCGCGCTGCTGGGCGCGCCTTGGCTGGCGCCTCGCGGGCCCCGCGGTCGCCGCCCGCCAGCGCCTCGGCCCCGCGGTCGCCGCCCGCCAGCGCCTCGGCCCCGCGGTCGCCGCCCGCCAGCGCCTCGGTGGGCTGCGCCATCGGCGGCGGAGGACCTCTCGGCGGACGAGGTTGCATCCGCGGACGCGGAGGAGGCTGCATCCTCGGCGGCACCTGCACCGACTTGGCCCTGGCCTGCGGAGGTGGCTGCATCCTCGGCGGCACCTGCAGGACCTGCGGCGGGGGCGGGAACGCGGGCGGCTGCGGCACGCGCTTCCAGACGCCCACCTCAGGCAGCGCAGCAGGAGGAGCTGCAGAAGGCGCCGCAGGCAGCGCAGCAGGAGGAGCTGCAGAAGGCGTCGCAGTCGACGAGGACGAGGAAGTGCACCTCCTGCTGCAAATAGCGGGCCACCTCCTGCAAATTGCGGTCCAGGAGTCGGCCAGCCGCACTACCTCCTCGGGGTCCGCCTCGCAAGAGAACTGCGTCAACGCCTTCAGCACGTCCGACAGCTCGTTGCAGACGGACGCGACGTCGACGCCGGCGGCCTCCATGGACGCGACCGACTCCTGCTGCAGCAGCTCGCGGATCCCCTTCTAGAAAGGCACCAGCTATACACCAACACCGATCCTGGCCAGGATCACCCTGGGCCTGCAGGATCGGTGTATACGCCCTCCTGCCTTGCTTAAGAAGGCATATGCGGCATATGCACCGATCCTGGGCCCAGGGTGGTCCTGGGCCAGGATCGGTGTTGGCGTATAGTTGGTGCCCTCCGACCTTCTCTGCGGAGGCGCAGATCTGCTGGTGGACGTCGTCCAGCGACGAGGTGCTGCTGCGGCCAGCCGCGAGAGCGTCCAGCTGGCGCCGGAGCCGGCGGACTTCCCGGCCGGCGCGAGGCATGCAGCCAGCGCCGCAGCGGCGCAGCCGCGCAGAGGGCCCGGCCCAGCGGCGCAGCCGCGCAGCGCAGAGGGCCCAGCGGAGCAGCCGCGCAGAGGGCCCAGCGGCGCAGCCGCGCAGAGGGCAGCGGGCCGCGGGCGGGCCCAGTGGCGCAGCCGCGCAGAGGGCTGCCGGGCTGCCGGCGGGCGGCCGCGCGCGCAGCCGCGCGGCCGGCGGGCAGCCGCGCAGAGGGCTGCCGGCGGGCGGCAGGCTTGGAGCCAAAACGGCTACGGAGGACAAATGAGCATAACACTCGAAAGATGTGGGCGGACAGGCGGACCTGCGGCCGCGTATATCGAGGATCTGGGAATCCAAACATACCTGCTTCCAACGGCGGGACGGCGGGGCCTGGTTGGGCCTGGGCCAGCAGCGGGAAGCGGAGACGAGGCTGAGGGGCAACAGGAGGAGCAGCGCGAGGAGGGCCATTAGCGGGAAGTGGAAGGATGAACAGGGGGGCTGGAGGAGAAGGAGGAGGAAGTGGAGGAGAGGAGTGGGGGGGGGGAATGAGAAGGGCAGCATCATGAACAGGGGGGCTGGAGGCTGGGGGCGAGGAGAGGAGGTGGAGGTGAAGAGAGGGGGGGGGGGCCCGCTTTCACGCATGGGTTGCGCTTTGAAGGCCCCGGGCTCCTTCAACGCCCACTGCATCACGATGCACCTCCGGCCGTGGCGCCGCGCGCTGTTCAGCGCAATCCGACCTGCGAGCGGAAATCGTTTGCAAAGGCCCGCAAATGCATATGTTTGAATCGTCGTCGCCACCGGGAATGAGAGGGTGAACACGAGTGGGAGTAGAGGGAGGTGAGGAGATGAATCGGAGGATGGGCAAGGAGAAGAGTAAGAAGAAATCGCAAATGGGATAAAGAGGAGGACGGAAGGCGGCAGAGGCAGAGGAAGAAGGAAAAGTGAAGGAGGAGGAAGGAGGAAAGAGAAGGGGGGGTACTGAAAGAGGGTAGGAGGAAGGAGAACGGATAAGTGATGTAAAAAACACTCGGCCGCCGTCGCTGCACAAAAACACTCGACCATCGTCGCTGCGTTCCAAAACACAACCAAGGTTAAACAACACAAGAGTGAGAATAATGCCATCTAGCACATCATCACCATCATCACCACCATCATCATCATCATCAGCATCATCATCACCATTCTGCTCGCCGTCGTCCGCCTCCTGCTCCTCCCACTCCTCCATCATGCTTCCTCGCCCTCCTCCTCTTCCCCCTCCTACCTCCTCCCGCTTCTCTCCAGCCCTTGCTGAACAACCGACTGCAATGCGTGAGAGGCTGGGGCGAGAAATGGATGACCTGGAGACTTCTTCGCCTTGGGGTAAACGGTGTCCATGTTCCCCAGGGCCCCCAACGTCGAGCCGGCGAGGGAGATGAGCTTCTTCTCGTCCATCGTCTGCACCATGACCGCTCGGGATTAACCCGCCAGGCCGTGGCGCCGCGAGTGCGCTCGGGGGGCGATCGCGGGAGGGGCGGCCAAGGAAACAGTAAACGGCCTGGGCCCCCTCGGCGCGACGAGGACCAACGGCGGCAAGGAAGCCAGGTCGCACGAGCACAAGGGGAAAAGTGAGACGGGGTAAGGAGGGGCGCCGGGGGAGAAAGGGCGAGGGACTAAGAGCTGGGCTCGGGCAAGTGGGGGCGAGTGGAGCGGGGGGAGGAGAGGGCCAAGCGATGCCCGAACATCAGCCGAAGTCCGCACCAACGGTCGCATCGCCTGGTCTGGTCGACCCGATCCGACCGCATCGGCCCGAGGCTGACAATTCTCATTCGGGATCGGCGGCGGAGCCATCAGGCTGGCAGCTTGGCGAGGTTCTTCTGCAAAGCCTCATCGCCGATGAGACGGAAGTTGTCCAGGAGGCTGCTCGGGGGGGCGTACTTGTAGATGACGTCGGCAAGCTCGGAAGCCCTCTGGTCAAAGAGCGCCAAGATCTTCTGCTCCATCTTCGTTAGTGCCTTCACTGCCGCCGAACTCCTGCGCTGAATGTCCATGTCCTTGCCCCGGCCCTCCTGGGCCTCATACTTAGACGCTGATGAACTCGTCAACCATGCAGTGTACGTGTCGAGCTGAGCCTTGAACTTCAGGAAGGTGTCCGCAACGCAGCCGGTGACCTTCAGTTTCGCGACGTTACCTGCTTCAATGTTGCTCAAGGTGTCGACGGCCGCCGAGACAACGAGGTTGTGCCGCTGGAGGAAGAACATGCGCCCGCCGTCAATGTCTCCGAGGCTCACGTCCTTGACCCGCTCGACTGCGCCAGCGACATTCACCTTCAGGGTGCCATACCTTCCTAGAACCTCTGCCAAGTCAGGCGCGTGGCCCTCGGGCGCGTCGATAGCCTTCTCCACCGAGGTGATCCCGTCGTCAGCAACCTTGCACGCCGCGAGCAACGTCTGCGCGGGCGCCTCGAGGGTTCGCAGGAGGACATCTGAACAGGCGGGCATGATGGAGGTTCTTAGGCACTGCACAAATGTGGCGAGCTTGGGTAAGAAGGAGTCCATATCCGCAGACAAAGACGAAGCCCTCGGGTCCTGCCAAGCGTCGAGCGGCGCAGCAATCTCGGATCTGCAATTCATGAAACTTTCGAACACACGGCTCATCCTCTCGCATATACCAGACGCGCACTGCAAACTGGACGCCGGCTGCTCCGACGACTTGCCTGCCGCTATAGCTGGGATGGTGCCGTCGGAATAGAGCAAGACGAACTCGTGTTCCCACTGTGCGGTCTCGCGAACCGCGCGCGACCACTGCTGCTGCATCTGCGCCTCGCAGTCAGGCTCCCCCTCCATCTTGCCAGGGCGCGGGCCCGGATCAATGGCGTCGACGAGGGCCTTCAAGAAGGGCGGGGGAAGGGCGGGGCGGGAATGTCAAACTCCCGGCCCTATCCTGAACAACCCCACGCCGCCCCACTCGCAGCGCAGGAGGAGGGGGAGGAGGAGGAGGAGGAGGAGGAGGAGGAGGAGGAGGAGGGAGGAGCAGGGAGGAGGAGCAGGGAAGAGGAGCAGGGAGGATGAGGATGACAGGGAGGAGGAGGAGGAGGAGGAGGAGGAGGAGAAGGAAGGAAGAGGAGAAGGAGGAGGAGGACTGTTCTGCGAGCTAGCCGCCATGCGAAGCGTAAACAGAACGAATCATTGATCTAACCTCGGGGCCAATGGGACTGGACTACCAAACATGAAATCAGTTCCCCCTCCTCCTCCTTGCTCCACTCCCTCCTCCTTCCTCCTCTCCCTCCCCCTTCAAGCCCTGTATGTGTCGACAGGAAGAGCGACTGCTCCTGCCCCTTGTAGCTGCGGCGCGCCGTTGTCGTCCACGAGGAGCTTCTCAATCAAATGGACTCCGCCCGCCCAAGTAGCGGCCACAACCGCGGACCGAACGGCGACGGCGTACTGGCGGGCATCCGCGGGGCAGAACTCGTTGAACATGTCCAGCCGAGCTTTGCCCTCCGTCGACTGTTGCCTGATCGTCAATGTCGAGGTAGTCAAGGTGGCCACTTGGTCTTCAAACGAGGGTTTGGCGCCCTCCTGCTGCGTCGATCTGGACAACGTCTCCGTTTCGGCCTTCACCTTGCGCAGCCAATCGGACAGCTGGGTAAACTCGCGGCGTCGCTCCGTGGCCATTTTTACCAAGGGCGCCCCGTGCTTGGGGAATCTGACGAAGTAGTTGGCTAGGTGATCGCCCTGCCCATCGGTGAATCGGAAAGTCGCGCGGGCAAGCGGGCCAGGGGGGAAGGCGAGAGGCCGGCCGGAGGCAGCGGATGAACAGGGAAGGGCAAGAAGCGGGGGAAGGGGGAGAGGACGGTGGTCGAGAGGGGGGGTGGGGAACGGGGCAGCACCATTCAAGCGGCGAGGGTTGGCGGCCAGGGGGGCCGGGCAGCGCCAATTCGAACCTTGCTCTCACTACTCATCGCCATTCCAATTTCACCCTTTGCCACGCCTGCTCTGTCCAGGCGCGCGCAACCCGCCCCGATAACCATGAGAGCACAGCAATGGTGCGCCTCGAGCCCCAGCCCCCAACGGACGAGGAGGGACGGAGAAGGACGGGGAGGGAGGGGGGAAAGGTGGAAGAGGAGGGGAGGGAAGGAGGAGGAGGGGGAGGAGGACAGTGGGGGCGGACATTTCGCGACCCAGGTCAGGCCATGGCCACCGACGCGTCGGCCTTCACCAGACGCTGCAGCGGCTCCACCTGGAACGTCGCCTTCGGCAACTGGACGAGCGCCTGGACGTCTCGCAACTGCGCCGCGACGCTTGGGTCGTACTCCTCGGGGGCACTCGCGATCTGCTTCAAGATAACATTCAACGCCTTGCCCAACTCTGCCTTGACGTAGCCCAATGGGCGCGCGCTCGTCAGCGCAGCCGTGAGAAACTCGCCAAAATACTTCGCCTGCTTCGACGCGGCCTCCAAGAGGTGGGCCGGCAGAGGGCCGGCCTCCTTGGCGGGGCCAGCCTCGTCACTCGCGGGGGTCCGCTCATCGGCCATCAGGATGTCCGTCGACGGCACCGCGCCATTCGGCGCCCGGGCCTCGGGGGGCTCGGCCGAAGGCGAAG